ATATATATAAGATAAAGTTAGACTTTTGTGATAAAATAAATAATTAAATTAAATAGAGAATGATAGAGTTAAACAGAAAAAAAATTTCATTTGCCTTATAAAATTAAAACATTAACAATTAATTTAAAATAAATTTAAAGTAAAAAACACAATTATTTTCGAACAAATAAAGTAATAGTATTGACCATAAAAAAATATTATAGTGTTAATTTGCTTTTTTTATTAAAAAAAATACACTCTTCAATTGGATTTATTTGTCTTACTTTTAGGAAAAGTGAAATAGTTAAATTAGACTATTCCTATTTAAAAAATAAAGTAACTGAATTTGATCGAATATAGATTGAATATTTTTAAACTAATAATATGTTTAGTTGAGGAAAATAATCTAATACATTAAATTTAATTGGACAAAAAGCCCCCAAAGGGATATTTCAAGTATTTGAGATTGAAACTCTAAATTAAAAATTTTAAGTGTAAATTTTGAGATAAATAAAGAGAAATTAAGAGAATAAAAGGATTATTCCCCTCAAATAACTTATCCTATAATGTGCCAAAAATATAATTGAACAAAAAGATTTTTTCTCCACTCCCAATTATTTCCCCCAAACCAAACGGATTAGCACAACTTAAGTTTTGCAAAGAATTGTGACAGCTATAACTAATTTTAAGAGTAAATTTTAAGGCGAATTTATGGTAATCATCTACCATGTCATAGGCCCAATGCAGAGCTACATAAGGAGCAGGTAAAGTAATTTCGTGCTGAATTTTTTTCATAAAATTTGGTTCGATCAGTACTCATTTGCAAAAGAGAAACCTCATTAAATATGAGTATTTTATTTTGTAATATATATTGTATTATATTATAAAATAAATATAATTAAATAAAAAAATTTATTATTCAAAAGTTCATATTTTTATATAATGATTTTTATTATGTAATTTAGTGTTATTTAAATTGTACGATAATTTTTTTATAAAATAATAAATACATTATTACGTTTATGTACACTGTTCAATTATCCTCTTCGAACTAATTTTCTTCTGGTAGCAATAAATCTAAATGTTAAACGTTTTCCCTAAAGAAAGAAAGTCAAATTTGGATAACTTACTTTTTTTCTTTTTTTTTGTTTCAACTCTAGATTTTAAATTTCTTCTGCAAGATCATGGATCGCGGTCACATTGACAACAAAAAAAATGGGAATTGGTTGACACACAATATTTTATTAGAGATATACTTCTTTGTCACACTATAATTGGGATTTTTTTT